TAATTAAAGCATTTCCACGGTGTAAAACACACCGAGCGAAACATGCAATTTGCGCATTGACGCTCGCCGGGAGTATTGCCACACATCTGCCGGCGCCCAGTCAAAATATTCAGTCGCGCCACAATGCGGCTTTTACAAGGACATGAATTTTAAGGGTCGTATACAAACAGCCGAGAACGGCTTCTTCGGCGGCCATTCAGACTCATTCACAAACGCAACACTGCGCACTGAATGAAGCAATATGAGGAGGAATACATGTATGAGCTTACGCCCCGACCGAGTGTACGCGTGGGGTGTGTGTTTCCACGTACGTTTGTTCAGGGACAGCTACGCGAAGCGGTTACGCATTGACGAACGCCGGTTACGACGCTGGGAGAGCGATCCAGCGCACAGTCAGTCGACAGCGTGTGCGCGTGCGTTGCAGGAACGAAGCATTTTAGCTTCCACTCGTTTCGTTAGCGCTTTTTATCTGCATTCATCATGTCAGCTCTCTCTCTCTCTCTCTCTCTCTCTTTCTATTTCACTCTCTCTCTCTCTCTCTCTCTCTCTCTCTCTCTCTCTCTCTCTCTCTCTCTCTCTCTCTCTCTCTCTCTCTTTATCTTTCTCGCTTTCTCTTTCTATCGGTTTATTTTTATCCCTCCCCCTCTCTCTTTCTGCGGCAAATAGCTTTATCCCGTAAACGTTCGACCTCGTGACGCTTCTTGGCACTACGACGAAATAGCATCTGGCAGTAGACAGATTTGCGACCAGCAAGTGCGTAAGTTGAACTGACAAACAAGCCGCTGAATTCCACAGTAATCACGGCCGATTCGACACCCGCACAAAGTTTAATCTACTCATCCGTGTAATTTCTGCTGATTGCCAAAGTGATTTTCCTTGTTATTACCTGCAGTTGCGAGCACAGAGCAACCTTGTTGCAAAAAAGGCTTAAGTGGGAGGGAGTTGGGAGCATGGGGACGGTGATAAGGGGAACGAGTGAAAGCTAGATAAGTATAAAGTGAGCGAGAGCAAGTGAAACTGAGACACACACAAAGACAGATAGATAAAGATAAGGTATAAGATAGCACAACATGGGTAGAAACGGAGGGGAGAGAGAGTGTGGGCTATAGAGATGCCGAGTGCTTGCGCAGGCTGCTAATATACTGACCAAATGAGTAATCTTGCTACAATTTCTAGCCTTTCCCACGGTGACCAACGCTTGCCCGACAATGGCTAGCAAATAACAATTTACCTATACACATGTACCCTAAAAGGAGCTGCGTTGTAAAGACGACTAGAGGAAATCCCAAGCTATTTACAAGCATACATACACACATGTAGTAAATCCGCGCAGAGCCATTTAAAGCGCTGCCTCTTAAAGCATAAAACCATTAGAAAATCCACTTGTGGTAAAACTAAAGCTCTCGAAAACATTCATGTTTTCACCACTGGATTTCGCTTTACTCAAACCCGGCTGTAAAATCGATTTAGGGCACTATTAGAGTGACCATACACGTTTATGGTGTGGACTGGCGACCGCGTGTGCACCCAACGACGCGCACAAAAGGCAGCGTTGGTTCAAGGATTTCGCTCTCAATTCGTTGCCCAAAAAATGTTCCCAGCTAATTTCGCTAGACGACTCGGGGTCTCGCTGCGTGCTTGTTAGCAGACGTGTTTGCCACAGAAAGACATTTAACTGCTGTCGCCATGTGTGCCAGCTGCAATATATCTGCATACTCGGAGGAGGATGACACATAGATGGACTGCGTCACGATCCTTTATTAAACTGACACACATGCACATAGCTCACACCAGAGGGGACAGCCAAAACACCCACATTATTTTCCGACCAAGCAAGACGCGCCGGACGTTTCACACAAACTATGGGGCTTATACGACACTCGTATATTGCGCACGCATTAGTAACCCATGAAGGACAACCTAGTCCATATATTACACTGACCGCCATCTGCTACGCTACACCCCATATCTAGCTCCTTACTAAAATAAGTAAGTGCAACGATGCTTGTAGGTTAGGATTAGGTTAGGTTATGGTGAGGGTTAGGGTGACAGTTAGTGTTAGGGTTACGGTTAGGGTTAGGGTAGGGGGCTATGATTAGGGTTAACATCATGATTATGGTTAAGGTTAAGGTTAAGGCAAGGGTTACGGTTCAGGTTAGGGTTCGAGTTAGGGATAGGATTACAGTTAAGGCTAGGGTTAGGTTTAGGGATGGGGTTAGGAATAGGGTTAGGGATGAGGTTAGGGATATGGTTAAGCCGATTGACATTACTTGGCAGTTGCCATTAACATCCACGATAATCGCGAGAGAACAACACGGCGATAACAATTACAACGACGGGGAACAATGAGACGATAACGATCACAATAGCGAGCGGACAATGAGTGAATAACAATCACAATAGCAACCGGACAATGAGTGATTGTGAATAACGATGACAATCGCTAGTGAACAATTGATTCCGTTGCGGTCTGCATTGAAACTCATGATCGACAGCAACAGCGACATTTCGACAGCAAAGCGCCCCGCGCTACGAGTAACTTCCTCTCAATGCAGTCGTCGAGTGTAGATCGCTTAGAAAGTACGTACTTAGAAGAACGAACACAACAAGCGACCGCCACTGCGAGTCTGTCGTCAATCGCTCGAGCCTTGTCAACAACAGCGCATCACTCTGACCGGCTAGCACAGGAAACCCCGCGAAGTCACTACGTAGCAACGCTACTACTACGTTCTCGCCGTCTGACATCATTGGCTGACGTATCGCTGCTTATCACGCATGGGGGTTGCGTGGAGCGCGTCTCACTTCCTCGACGCATATCCTGCGCGTGACTCATATCACTGACCATCCTCAATACTCGCACACATAGCTACTACTGCCCGCTGAAATAGCAACCTGCGCTGGTCTAGGAAATTCTAAAGACAGTCTAAGAAAGTGAATGGGTAGATACGTAAAGCGAGAAAACAGAATTACATATACGTATCGGAAATGAAGAGGGACTCCAAGAAGACAAGATAGAAAGAGGGCAAAGGAACAAGACAACCATGCAAGAGAGTGATGAAGCACATGTGTGTGAGATTGTGATGGGTGCGTGCGTGCGTGCGTGCGTGCGTGCGTGCGTGCGTGAGAGAGTCAGATAGAAATAAATAGATGGCTAGCTTGAGAGAGGGAGGCGGAGGAAACGGACACACAGACGGGCGGATAGACAGACAGACAGAGAGTACGAGCGAGCGAGACAGAGAAATACGTAGTGTATGAATGAGATTCATCCTGTTCATTCCACCAATGATTCATAATCGCTTCTCCGTCCACGAAAACACGCACATCCATACATGCATTTTAACTCTCGACTTTTAAACCGGCGCGTTTGCGAGATTTATTAAAAGGCGCGGGGGAGGGGGGAGGGGGGGGTTAAACTATACCAGGTGATAGTAATCTCATCTGTTCGTCACGTATATTACAACTACTGGCTTTCCAGAAACTCCCTACCACATGCTTACGTGTAGATGCGTCTTGATTTCTCCTGCGCATGCATGCTGAATACGAAATTACTATATCATCGGTGATAGTTGATCGAGAAAAAACGTGACTGCCTGGGGTAGGCGAGAGCGAGAGTGCACGCTTCTTTCCTAACCAGGCTTATCCGCGTATCGGAGAGAGAAAAGTTTAACGTGTTTGGGAAGCAAACAAGCCTTTCACTTTCTCACCGCCTCTCTCTCTCTCTCTCTCTCTCTCTCTCTCTCTCTCACTCTCGCGCTGTCTGCACAGCGGCGGCATTGTGTGATCGGCGGCAAGCTTATGATAAGCGGAAAAGCGTTGTCAGCATGCCGTGTGTGTAGGCACAACTATTTTGCGCGTGTATTCGCGACGATCGGGTCATCATCAGATCTCTCGCCGCTGCATTTATTTACATGCGAACAATCCCACCAGCACCACGGCTGTCTGTGGGTTGCCGTCGAGGCGTGGGTAGCGAGAGAGGGGGTGAGAGAAGGAAAAAGAGAGAGTGAGAGAAAGAAAGAGCGGGAAGAGAGAGAGAGAGAGAGAGAGAGAGGCACGCGAGAAAGAAAATGAGCAAGCGACAGAAAGATAGAGGGATAATGATGAAGCGAGAGGGGAAGAGGGAGAGAGAGATGAGGGGGAGACAAAATAAGATATAGGAAGAAAAGGCGGCAGAGTGTGAGAGAGTGAGACAGAGGAGCGAACGCGAGAATTGAAAAAGACAAAGAGGGAGAGAAAGATGGGCGAGAGACAGGCAGACAGACCGAAAGGGAGAGAGACAGACAGACAGACGGAGAGGGCGAGAGACAGAGACAGACAGTGCTAGATAGAGCGACAGAGAGGCAGACAAGAGCTATATAGAGGGGGCAGGGTTGAGGGGAGCGTCGTGAGCCTTGGTTAGAGTTGACAGTAAGCCGCTAGTCGTTCACGCGGATTCCCGGCGCGTGAGTGCAGGTGCTGTCAGGCGGTCGCGCGGCGCGAAGGACGGCCAGGCACGCTAATCCTACCTTCTCCCTCTTCCCTCCCTTCCTACCTTCCGAGAAGCACATAAAAAAAATCGAGCTCGCTCTACTGCGCGCGGTCTTGCTACATTGCAGCGGTTCGCTGAGCTAAGTAAGAGTAAAATACTGGGTACCAGCACCGGAGAGCTCTACCAAGAATTACCGTTGTCCTCCACATCGTGGCAGATATTTACGTTAGAGAGAGAGATAAATCGTGAGAGATAAATCGTTACCCGACATTGCATCTATCAACGCATATATAGATCACGGTGTGTAGATTCTACGTACGGCCTCTGTGCCTGTACGACCAACTAAAGATGTTGGAACTATGCTGTAAAACGCGCGTGTATCTAAGGTTTTAAAACCGTAAAGCATAGAAGCGCGCACAGGTACATTTACGCACAGTTTACCTGACCTACCAACATTTGCTGCGCGTGTGTTGCTGCGAGTAAACGAACGTCACATGTGATTATGTGAATACGTTGACATTCTTAGAAGACTCACCACTTATGGCCTATGCCGCTTCTGTTGCCGAGCATCTTCATTGCTATCAGCTCTCGTTCTCTTTACCTTTTTGTAATACCCTGCAACAGAAAGAAACGTACCGGATAAGTCACGTGGCAAGTACACGAAATCTCGCTAGAAATTGAATAACCCGCAAAATGCATAAAACCTGCACAACGTCACGGCTTTTTTAAACTCTGTACAACTTCACGGCTTTTTTTGGCGGACAGAGGAAGTTTGCGTTGCGAATGTTTTCGCACGACGTAGATTTATTTGGCCGCCTCCGTGGGCGTTCAGAAATCGCAGACAATGCCGGCAAGGAAAGCCCGAGCTTGAAACGCAAACGCGCCTACTTGAAACCACCATTTTATTTGCCAGCCACAACAGCTTCTCACTGTTGATGTAGAAAGCCAGATGTCGCACCTGTGGTCAACGCCGCCGCCACAATGCTGGCCACAGGTGTACCGCGCTCCTTGTTGTCATTTGAAAATTCCTCGGCGCGCAACCGTGTTTATGTTTGTGTAGCCTCCATTTGTTAAATCTCTCTCTGAGATAACACGCGACAGAGGAGCAGATTTGCACAGCTTTGGCGCGTATTGTCTGTCGATTTGCAGCAGGCATCGTTCTGCATTGATATGCATTTCCTCATCCCTTTCAGCGGAAGACATTTGTGCAACAATGGACAACCGCGAATGGCCGCCGACTTGGGAACTTTAACCATCTGGCATTCTCACAGGCTGTCGCTTTTTTCTACGATAGAAACCTTTCTTGGTGGCCTGCGGACGTACCCAGCCTCTATAGGTAGCCCACCTGCCCTCCCTCCATCCTCCCTACCCACTTGACTCCGTTATCGTTTTATCTAACTTCCTGTACCCTACAGCTATTTCTTTCCATTTTAATAAACAGTTAAAAAGGTTAGCCATCACAAACATACACACACACACACACGCACACACACATGCATGCATGCACGCACACATAACACACACGCGCGCGCGCGCGCGCGCACGCACGCACGCACACATCGCACAAGCGGAAGGAGGAATGTCTACCTAGTAGTATTCTCCACCGGCCGAGTTTTTACTAGGTGCTTACCCATTCCTAGTAAGGGCAAAGTTTAGCTATCTTCAAAACAACATCGTACTTTCCCAGGCAGGAAATGTTTAGATAAGCAAGGTGATTCCAGTTTGTTATACCCTTCACCCGCGAACATAACAGTTGTGACGCAGTGTGAGACTTCACACAGCCTCGGTCTGGCAGCATGTGCACACGACAGGTACCTACGATGCCTACGATCATCCATAACGGACATCTGCACGGGGGATACGGCTAACAAAGCAACCGGACAACAAAGAGAAATCATGTCAGCACTAATTAGATCATGAGAATACGACCCCCGTTACCTAAACACACCACACGAGCGCACGCGCGCACACGCACACACGCGCGCACATGCACACGCACGCACGCACATGCACACGCACGCACACACACACAGAGGAAGAGAGAGAGAATGCGAGAGAACGAACAGGGGTAGACAGAACGACAGAGAGAAAGAGGGCGCGCACGAGGGGAGATTGCTAGCTGGACGCGAACATTATCCCACAACCATAATTTGCCGATTAAGTAATGAACGCGCACGATAACCTCTCGCGCAACCATGCATAACTATCGGCGGAGCACACACGCGCGCACGCACACACACACACACGCCCGCAAGCACGCACACACACGCGCGGGATGTACAAGTCACGTAATATTCGTATATGTCTGTCGGCCTGTCTACGCTTCCTCTGCCAAACTCAACGTACGCCTGCGCATGCCTTGTCCGCCCCGCGACACAAAAGCTAGCCGACTGCTTGCTAGCAAACCGTCGTGACCCCCATCAATCTGGCTAACTGCTACACAAAGCAGCGCAGCCGTGTTTGAGTGCGTGTGTGTGTACGGCTCTGTGTGTACGGCTGTGTGTGCGCGCGTGTGTACGGGTGCGTGCGTGCTGCACGCACAATAACGTTGTCGCTCGCCAGAGGCAGAGCTGACATCGCAGGTACGGGTGAGAGATATGAGCGTTGTACACAGTACGTTTTTGGCATGAAGTAAGGGAACCCCGTGAGATAAACACACACGACCAACCCGAGGACTGGTCAACTCGACCCGCCGCCAACTCGACTCGCATTGTGTCGAGTTTACCCGCCTGGAGATCGGGCAGCTCGACTCACGGTCTAACTCATTTTTAAAAGATGTTTTACACATTCCGACGTCAAAACGTGTGTGATATTTTTGTGGGAATAACCTTTTATTATGCGTAGAGTATAATTTTGTCACACATGATCAATCTCAATTTTCAATCTCACATGAGCTAGCCGGTGAGCCGAGCTGTTCCACCTCCAGGCGGGTAAACTGGCCACACAGGTCGAGTTTGCCGGCGAGGCGAGTCGACTACGGACCGAGCAACCCAACCGCCGTTTGCTCGAACCAAGCAGGTAGTTTGCAACGAAAACCCTACGTCAACGTGAATATACAGAACAGAAGCATACATGCAAACTCGAAAACGCATGTTTAAACCACTCTGTTTTGCACTTTTACGATTTGCTTCATCGTCACATATATATGTAATTGTTGTATCTAATATTATTATATAAATATAAACTAACTAAACTAGCACATTTCACGCATCGGTTATTGGTTTGACTTAGGAGCTAAAAAGCGGGTTGATGTGAGTCGTCTGGATAAATGCGTCTCGTTGCGAGGTTAAAGGCACAGAACTCATCCACACAGAATGCATGAGCCACCATTATTTTGGTACCAATTAAAAAAAAACCGTCACAATTGCCACCTGCTACCCAGTTACTCCTACGGTTTAATAAAATTCACAGGTTTTTAAACCATCCTACATGTACACGCACCCAGCTACGCATGCCTACTTTAATCACTGGAGAGTATTCATGTAACAATGTATCAAAATTCAGTCTATAGAATGTATCAAATAAATTCAAATTCAAATTCAAATAAAGCTTATTGCACGGATAATCGCAGATCATACAGGCAAATAGGCTACAAACTACAATAAAACAAGTTCCTAGGCTAATAAAAACGAGAGAAACGATGTGTCTTATACTACTTTGACATGACTGCATGACATAATTTAACGTTCTATTCTAACCAAAAAAACAACACTTCAAACTAGTGTAATAAAATTCAAACTTCTAAACTACGCTAACGAACAAGATTCATGTGAGTAGACTATTGCGGCAAGTATCGCGTGGTATCGGTTGCCGCAGATAGTAACGTTTGGTATCGGAAACTGCAGGCGCCCCGAGTACAGATGTAGGACTAGTAAAGCCCGACTGTTGGTCTAAACCTCTCTGTATTTAGCTTGGGATATGTGGTGTGATTTAATTTATTATTTGTATATCACACCATTTATGTTTTTGGTGGATCTTGTCGTAGCTTGAATAAATCTTCGATAAACTTTGAGAGTTCGAGGAGATCGGCCACATTGTTTGTGATGAATATAACCATTTTATGGATGATTTGCTTAGGAATGTAAAGTGTATACATTTGTCTTCTGTCTTTTTTCTGATGTGGTTGGTGGCAGTGCAGTCATAGAGTAGGTGGAGTTCATCATCTATTGACCGTTATCAAACGTCTAGTATAAGAATTCTGTATTAACTTGTTTTGACATAGAGCTGCGAAAATGTGGTTGAAATACATTCTTCGGCCAAACGTGACTACACTTAAGGTTTTATCTTTCTGCACCTCCTTGAATTTGGTTTGGCTACATTCCAAGATACTGCGGATGTAGTACTTGTGCACGTTGCTACACGCTACTACACAGCGCACTCGTAGTACTACTACTGACTGACGTGAAAACCTGTTAAAAACAAACACACGCCCCAATAAAATTCAGAATATAAACAGACACAGAGAGACTGGGAAACTATTAGCATCTCACGCTATTCGACGAACACCTTCTTTATACGCTCTTGATTGTATCAATTGTCAGTGATGCGACTGATCGTTGTCTGCAGACGGGAACAGCATGATATCGCAACATACGTGCGTCAGGAACCATATAACACTCGCGTGTCTTATAAATATTAACACCGTCGGCTCACCTGTGACTTTGGATTGACTGCTAGGCGGCGAGCTACTCTTGTCCGACACTGTGGACGACGCCTTGCGTACCTCCCGCACGTTCCCAGACGTTGACGATGGTTCCGAGTGTTCTGGGGTCACATCCGATTCGTCCGACGCCGAGGGCGTGGCGGGTGTGCCTACGTCCCGCGCCGGCGTTACAAGCGTGTCCGTGCTGCGGGTTTCCTCCGCGGCATCTCTTCTAATGTCCACTTTGCCACTCAAGAAGGGAAAACTACGCAACATATACGACGGGTGAACGTCCGTGCTGCTCTGCTCTACTCTCTGCCACGCGAATTTTCCAGGTAGCGGGCTCTCTTTTGTGAAATCAAAATTCCACTTCTTGTTTTCGAGTTCGTGCATTTCGGTGAGTTTGATTTCTAGATCACGTTTCACCTGGTCATGGTCGACAGGGCCGAACAAATTCCTTCTACACGTCTTCGGCTTGGCTCCACCCGACGATACTGGATACAACGTCGTCATCCTGGACAACATCAAGAGTTCGGCGTAATTCGTATAGCTGCGACACAACCACCACTACATGTACTCGGGTACGGACAGAGCGACACTCACACTCACATACGAACACGATCACTGCGCCCACTAAAATGGCGTGATGTACGTTGGTTTGTAGCGGCGAGCTAAATATACGCTAGCGATTACCTCTACGCATGTGCCGCTCGTCGACCAATCAGCGATGGGCTCGCACTGATTGGCCGGCTAGGGTCGCGTGTGCCGCTATAGCGGGAGCTATAGAATGCGCTAGATTTAAAATAGTGGGGAGGGGGGGGCTATTGTGCAAACGAGCAGACTGAACGAGGGCGAGTGACAGTTTGAAGCACGTACTTACATCACGCTTTCTACCCTTTTAAAACTGCAAAATAACAATTAGTAATGAATACACGATGCTCTGACACGGTCTAGAGATATTAGAAATTCGATTGGGAAGAAAAAAAACGACGGACTTGCAGCACTGGTTAAAATACGAATAGAGACCTCATGTAGAGTACGTAGAATTGAACTACCTACAGCGTATTTCTTTTGTGTCAGCTACCACACGTTCCGACATATCATTAACCTGTACCAATGAATTGTTGCCGTCTGTATAGGTATATATAAGTACATAGATATATCTAGCCAGAAACTTTGTATTTTCATAGGTATGCATAGAGGGGTAAGATCCTATTACACTGCTTACGTGATATATATAAATACGTTACGCTAGATATGGTTTTTGCCTCGTATAAAATAAGGTATATTGTTTTAGTAATTATACGACTATTGAAGTATATTTCTTGACCCCTCGCTAATTTGCTAAATCCATATTCTCGAGTCTACTGTCGTCCAACTTCTGTTTTTTAAACTTTAAACTTAACTTTAAAAACTTAACTTAATTATATCGCCCACCCGTATAAGCAGCTGGTACGCGTTTTACGCTATTAGAACACTATAAAAAATAATGTGGTACATACAATAAAAACACAAATAAAATAAATGTAAATAGAAGCGCTCAACAATGATATTGGAGATAATCAGACACGTCATTATCCATTCTTTCTGATGTGCAGTACCGTTAGAAAGCAGCTGTCCACCCAAACAGATGTACAGGGCTCCCTCCCTAACGGTTTCGTGCATGCAGGTGCAGTATGCGGCTATGCGCACTACAGATCCACGCCATTTACTACTACTAGCGCCACCACTGTGAGAAAAGCGCAACTACATTCGCCGTATACTATAAGGCATCATAGAAGTTGTCTAGCGATAGTAAGTCTAGCAACAGCAGGAGCCGTGCCGCGTGCGTCTTGCCGTACTGACTATAATATACCGAATAATCGGGCTTTAACTTAAACGCGGATAGGTTGGGGATAGGAACTGGACGCACGAGATTAGAAGCGTTTAATCATTTCATTGTCACGACACGTCGTCACGTTTGCCTTAATAATCCATCACAAAGCCCCGCGACGACTTCACAACCCGTTGGCATATTTAACAACTCGATATTAAAATGAGCAAATTACGCGCCAGGTGTCGCGTCGGATTCGAGCGTGCGTGTGTCGTAACAATATCGTCAATCAGTTCAGCTGCACCGTGTAAAGACAAAAGCCATTGTTAATGCGAAGTGGCAGCTCGGTGACACGGCCAGCAGCACGCCAGTTTATTACGTCGACTAGCGTTACTGGCCCTTTATTCCATGCGTTTATCCGAAACGGGGTTGAAGTGTAAAGCAAATACCCCCACCCACCCTGCGTGCACCACCAGGACGCGTGAATAGGAGAGTTATAGTATAGCATGTGATAGTGAAAGATGGGATAGACAAACCGACGCTGATATACGGCCGCTATGTTGAATCGCGTATCTTGTTAACAAAAGCGACAGCGATGCCAATATGTACATGTAGTTATTGATCATTCATACGTGCGTGCATACATGCACGCACGCACTAACACGCACGAACGCGTGTACTCACGCGCACACAGACACGCTAACATTTTCGTCGTCGAAGGACGGCTGTGAGGTGAGTGATATATTGTACCTATTTAATCTTGGCACACGCCCGTGCCACACGTACACCTAAATATACATCGCCTAGCAGTCCCGCCCCCTATATTTACATCTCATTGCCTCTCGCCTTTCTGCCAATTCAGTTCGTTACGCGGTCAAACAGGTGTGTTTGAGTTTCTTCTCAAGTCTGACCACTGGTCACTTCAAAGTCAATACGTCGTTAGCAGCGCGTTATTTTGGCCGACGCGACGGCGTCGCCCCCAATATTTACATCCGGTAGTTTTGTTTGCGATACGTTTTGGTCAGTGCAGACGGACACGTACCGCGGATTAGCGACGAGCCCCGCCAGACCACGGTCCGGTGGATATAGCGTGTGGCTGACGGGTCGCTGCGTGCGCGTGCGTGTTTGTGCGCGTGTTTGCGCGTGCGTGTTTGTGCGCGTGTTTGCGCGTGCGTGTTTGTGCGCGTGTTTGCGCGGGCGTGTGAGTGTTGTGGTGTGGGGCGTCAGACGTTGTGGGTGCGTGTTTGCGCGTGCGTGTGAGTGTCGTGGTGTGGGGCGTCAGACGTTGTGGGTGCGTGTTTGTGCGCGTGTTTGCGCGGGCGTGTGAGTGTCGTGATGTGGGGCGTCAGACGCTGTGGGTGCGTGTTTGCGCGGGCGTGTGAGTGTCGTGATGTGGGGCGTCAGACGCTGTGGGTGCGTGTTTGCGCGGGCGTGTGAGTGTCGTGATGTG